CCCTCGTGGGCGGGGTGCGTCGCCCGCAGAGCCCTCTGGGGAGGCGGCCAGGCTGGACTCCCATGCCCCACGGGGTGCCCTTGTGCAGTGTGCAGCCTTCCTGCCTGTGTGGGGCCCCAGTGCGTACCCGGCGGGTTTTCCCTTAGTCACTGTTAGCGGGTGTTCAGGCAGAAAACACAGACATGTCAAAGGGGAAAATAATAATTATCCAGCCCTGGCCAGTGTGGCCCGGTTGGTTGAGAGTCGCCCACGCACTGAGAGGCCGCGGGTTCCACTCCCGGTCTGGGCACATGCCCAAGTCTCCACTGGACCCCCAGTAGGGGGCGCGCAAGAGGCAGCCGATGGGTGTTTCACCGATGTTTCTCTCTCTCCCTCTCCCTTCCTCTCTCTCTAAAATTAATAAAAACATTTAAAAAATTATCCAGAATCCCAACACTTAGAGAGAATGAAACTCTGTTAAGACTTTGGTGTATTTCCTTACAAGGATTTTATATACACACAGTCTATAAATGTGATGCTGTTGGTGTGCACTTGCAGCGGAAAGGGGCGGGGATGACACTGTAGAAGGTAAGGGGGCTATTCCTGGCCTGTCCCGATCCCTATAGATGCCCCCCACTCCCCTCTCCCAGCGGGCGCGGCCATGTGCACACACACACACACACGCTCACACATGGGCACACACACGTGCTCACACATGGGCGCACACACACACACACACACACACTCACACACGGGCACACACACAGTTGGGCCCGAGCGCTCGGAGCAGAGGTGCAGGTGCCAAGGGAAGGGCAGGTGGTGGCGGCAGCCCCCGGGGAACTTACTGCTGAGGGCCGGCGGCAGGGGCGGCTGGATGGGGTAGGCTGGCTGTGCAAAGGGCTTGATGCTGCAGACAGGAGCACAGCCTCATTAGAGGGCCATCCCCTGCCCCACCCTCCATCCAGCCTAGTCACTTGGGGTCTCGTCTGGGATACCAACAGAGAGCCACCAGCCTTAGCCTTTCTGCAGAGGCCCAGGCATCTGCTGGCCAGCTTTTGTTTGCTCCACACTAACTTTTGTGAAATCCTGCTGCGTCTCACAGCTGACGTGCACATTTAATATAGCGTCCCAACCCCTCCCGGACGAGCTGTGCTTAAACAGAGGGTGTGTTTCTGGAAGACAGTCATCTTAGAACTGAAGGAACCGAGTATACTTGGCTGCTTGACTGAGAGATGAATTCAGAGATTAACTGAAGGACGGGTGACAAGTGGATGAGTGGGTTGATGAATGAATAAACACGTGAATGAATAGACAAATGCATTAGCTTTCTTACTGGCGCGCTCCATCCCTCGGTTTTTGAATTAAAACGGCTCATTTGTTGCTGGAATCCAGAGAGGGGAAGCCTAGTGCGGCTGCTGAGAAAAAGCAGAGGGTGTGGGGAGGATGCACCAGGATACTCACTCCTGAGAGGGTCCGGGCTGCTGTCCCAGAAGAGGGGGGCTGCTCCAGAACTGCAGAGATGGGACAAAGTCAGGGGTCCCTCAGAATCTATGGTCCTCACCCCCCAGCCCCACCTCCACCACCGTACCCGTGAGGAAGTGGAGAAGACGGCCTGGGGCAGGGGGGAGGGCGGGCTGAACTTGTTCTGTAGCACGCTGGCGGAGACGATCTGGGCAGAGGACATGGACGCCATGCTCTGGAGGGCTTTGTCCTTGGAGACTTGGTCCTAGGGGAGGGAGGCGCCGCATGAGGGCAGACAGGACAAGGGCTTGCCCCAGGGCCCCCCTCCCAGGCTCTCAGGGCTCTGGAAGTCCATGTCTGGATTATAGCCCCAGCTCTGCTGTGTGGCCTAAGGAGGCCCTCAGCCCCTCTCTGGGCCTGTCTCCTAAGTGTCCATCACCCCTCTAACCACAGTGCACAGTAAGAAACAATTTTATTTCACTCTATAACCTAGCAGGTACCAAAATATGTCCCCTAATTTGTGTCATGCACTGTCATACTTTCTATTCTATTTCCTCAGTGGTTCTCAAAGTACGGTCCTGGACCAATAGCACCAGCATCGCCTGAAAGCTTGCTAGAAAGGCCAAGTTTCAGGCCCCGCTCAGGCCTCTGAATCAGAAAGCCTGGGGGTGAGGCCCGAAATGTCTCCACAAGCCCTGCCGGCAATTCCATTTGTGCTAAGGTTTGAGAACCTGTCAGTTACACTGATTTACAATCCAGAATTTGGAAATTCTATTAGGTGCTCTCCCCCCCGAGGTCCCCTAGGGGAGGGGCAGTGCTACTTACCAGGTTCATGGCCTGTGAAGGAGAGGGAGCATGATTAGAAGAGGCACAAATGAGGGCTATATGGGGGGGGGGGGGCACGTGTCTTCTCACCTCCCTCCACTCCACGCCCACCTGGCTCCCAGCTTCTGGGAAGCCCAGGGAAGCTGAGGCGGCTGTGGACCTCCCAGCCCCCTCCCCCCACCCTCTGCCACCCAGAGGCAGTGTTTCTAAGCTGGGGGTGCCCTGGACAGGGTCGGATGACGGAGGACAGGCTGGAGACCTAGATGGTGGACCAAGCTGGTGTCCCTGGGGTCTGCTCATGTACCAGGCTGCTGGGCAGCTATGGGCAGAGAGAAGAAGATGCAGCCAGCAGGGGCCCTGACCAGGGTCCAGGCCATGAACACAGGCTCTGAGATCCTCAGGCACAGAGCAGCCAGGATGGAGTGTCCAATGGAAGGAACGGCCATGCCCACACAACAGCTCTGCCAGCCCATGCCCTCCAGCGTCTCCTCCTGCCCTCCTGAAGTCCCCGTGCAATCAGCAAGCAGCAAAGGAGGAAGGAGGAAAAGGAAATCGGAGAAGAGAGGGGGCCTTAGTGGCCCAGACGGTCTTCCTCTCCTTCACTGAAGGACTGCTGTCCTGCTCGGTCTCCAGGGCCCGTGTAGCCTGCAGCGGCCTTTGGGCTTCTTGCTCCTCGGCCCCCTCCCTGCCCCGAGCTGGGGTCAGAGAGCAGCCACAGGCCTGGGCAGGGCCAGGGCCAGGCCAAGCAGCAAGGGGCCCCATACCTTCAGCTTGGACTGAATCTCCCGAGATTTCCGCCTGGCTAGAACCTGCAAGTGGCTAGAGACCTGTAGAGAGAGAGAGAGAGAGAAAGAAAGAGCAGAGAGTGGAAGAAGAGGCAAGAACAAAGCTTCAGCCAGAAAAGAGGCAGAGGGGGCTGGAGAGCTGGCCGAGGCTGAGGCCCGAGCGGTGCAGGCAGCGGTGGAGGCGCCGTGGTAAGGGGCCCAGGAGGGGCTGGAGGCCCCAGTCAGGCCCAACGTACCTTGATGCCAACCTGGTACTCCCGCACCTTCTTCCGAGCTAGAACCTGTATGTGGCTGGACACCTAGGGGCCGCCCCGCGCCCAGCCAGAGAGGGAAACACACAGTGAGGAGGCGAGCTCGGTGGCCACAGGCAGCAGCCGGCCCTCGTCTCTGGGAACAGGTGTAAGTGGGGGGACTCTGGGGCCCCCGGGGGCAGACACTCCACAGCCCTGCCTGGCACTTCGGCTTTCCTCTTGGCCCTGTTGTGATCAAGAGCCTACGGGCTTCTAGGACCACCAGCTGTCCACTGCGCAAGGCACCCGCGGTGAGCGCTAAAGTTCGGCCCAAGCCCTGCTGGCCACGCTGTGTGGCCGGTGCAGGGCTGCATCCAACCCAGAAGAAGAGCATGCAGACCTTTATTTTCCCCCAAGGGGCTGACCAGAGCTAGCAATGGCATGTGTCCTGCTGGCCGTGAGAGTATACGTCCGGCCATCTTCTCTATAATCCTCCCTCCACTCCCCATACCACCACCTCCATCTTCCAGTCACCCCACCCGCTCGCTGGCCCACCGGCCAGGCCTGTCCTACTCCGCTTTGCTCACGCAGCTTCTTCCCCCAACATGCCTCCCTTCTCCTTGGACCAATAAATGGCAGTAAACATAAAGGCACACAGTAGGAACTCTTAATTGTGTTTTTTTTCCAGCACCTCCTCCCTGAAGCCTTCCTCTCCGGCAAACCTGAGCTGGTCACGGTCAGGGTGGGTGTGCCATGGGCTGGCACCACACACCCTTGACACTTGGAGGATCTGACCCTGAACCTCAGGGAACCTAAATGCCACTTTCTCCCTGAAACACAAGGGAACACGTGGCTCCTCTAGGCACCTCACACCTTCATTCCCAGCCACTGCTGTTGGCTTTCCTTGCAAGTAGTCTTCATTCCCACAAAGAAACAGTTTCTTTTCCTTTTTTAATCACAGACTGAAAGTTACTACGTATCTGATGCTGGGCAGCCCCCATACCACTTGGTTAGGACCCCGGCCCAGACCATGCAAGGATCAGACACAGGTCAGCAAGACGACCGACCGTGGCGTGGCACGACCGCAAGTGACGCTGACTGCGCACGCCTCCCGTCAACCCGTCGGACTCCACAGCACCACTAAGAAGGCGGCACTAATATTATTTCCGGCCGAACCGGTTTGGCTCAGTGGATAGAGCTTCGGCCTGTGGACTGAAGGGTCTCAGGTTCGATTCCGGTCAAGGGCATGTATCTTGGTTGTGGGCACATCCACACTGGGGGGCGTGCAAGAGGCAGCTGATTGATCTCTCTCATCGATGTTTCTAACTCTTTATCCCTCTCCCTTCTTCACTGTAAAAAATCAATAAAATATATTAGAAAAAAAATATTATTTCCGATTTGCAGATAATGAAACCAAAGCACAGAGAGGGTAGCAGCTTATCCGAGGTCACACAGCTGGGGGCTGGGCTGGGATCAAACCCAGGTGGCCTGACTCCAGAGGCCCCTGGCTTCACCACAGGCGATGCTACCTGGGCTCTCTCAGCTCCCAATGGTCAGCTCTGCGACAGTTGGAAGTCACATAGGACTTAATCCTAATCTTACATTTAGCTGGGCTTTTTGCCATATGAAGGCACTGTACTTGCTACTCATTGCTATAAATATCTGTAAAAAAACCAAAACTGCATTTAAAAAAAAACCCGACAGTTGGAAGTCACATAGGACTTAATCCTAATCTTACATTTAGCTGGGCTTTTTGCCATATGAAGGCACTGTACTTGCTACTCATTGCTATAAATATCTATAAAAAAACCAAAACTGCATTTTAAAAAAAACTGGCCCCAGCTGGTTTGGCTTGGTGGATAGAGCATCGGCCTGTGGACTGAAGGGTCCCAGGTTCGATTCCGGTCAAGGGCACATGCCCGGGTTTCAGGCTCGATCCCCAGTGGGGAGCGTGCAGGAGGCAGCCGATCAGTGATTCTCTCTCATCATTGATGTTTCTAGCTCTCTCTCCCTCTCCCTTCCTCTCTGAAATCAATAAAAATATATTTAAAAAACAAACAAAAAATAAAACTGAAACAACCCTGTCTGTCAGCGGCTTCTCTTTGAGACACAAAAGCACACGCCTTGTCCTCACCGCATGGGATGGCTCCCGTCAAGGAGATACTAGATTTGGGAGTCAGAAGGAAAATGAAGTTAGAGGAGTGCCGCCCGTGCAAAATGACGAAGGCCAGCGGTTTTTAAAGCTCTGAGCTTGCCGACAGCTGGTTTCGATTATAATTAGTGTTTTATCATTTTATTTTATAATGAAAATAAAACTTCACTGGCCAGCCAGCCTTCACGGGATACTGACCAGGGGCAGGTATAAGGCGGGCCCAGAAGGAAGAGGCTCTCTACCCGCTCTGGGCCTCGGGTGCCTCAGCCCCTTCCCCCCTGACAAACGTCCTATGAACACGTCTGTTGGGTGAGGCAGGACACGCACCTCCCGGCAGGGAGGCAGCAGGAGCTTGAACCCAGGGGTCTGACAGGCAGTGTTCCTCCTGCTCCCAGGCTCCAGGGAACAGGGCCCAGGGCCCGTGAATGTCTGGTTCCCTGCTGCCTCCCTCGTGCCTGGAAGGTAGTAGGAGCTCAATCACTTGCTAAAGAAATAAATGCTGTGCCACCTGAGCTGCCCGAGGGCAGTGGCTCATAAATGCTCCTGCGCTGGGTAGTGGACTCTGAATCTCCCTTGGAGGCAGTGGGTGGGACAGCTCAGCCTGTCTATGCAGCCGGGGAGGTGGGTGCAGGGCCCAGCCCAGGCCGACCCCAGCGGCGGGGGGAGGTTGAGGGTCAGAGGGGGCCTCCACTCCTCCAGGAACCTGCCTCCAGGCTGCCTGTCTCCCGGGCAACCCCCCCGGGGAACCCACCCGGAACAATTCCCTTCAGGTCTCCTGTGCACACGCTGGACTGCCCGCCGCCCAGTCACCTCTCAGCTCATCGTGTTTTCCCATCCACCATCCCTACCCTCACCCCTGCCACTACCCCGGCCACCACTGCTGTTGATCTAGGTCCCTGCCTGGCCCTAACCCATGGCCGGCTGCTCCGGGGCCAACATTCCTGCCACCTGCCCCAGCCACTCCTGCTCTAGTCCCTTCCATGGCCCCCAGCTGCCGCCAGGAAACCTGTCCGTGGGCAGCTGAATCCTCACCACTG